GCTCTGTTTGCCCTCTGCTGCAGCAAAACAGGATTCTGCAGGAAGAGATGGCCAATCGGCCATCTTCAGTGCCGGCCGGCCATGTATTGTTGGCCAAGAGCTCCACTTATGGCCGATGACCATTTTCCAATGGCCGGTGGCCTTTCCTTTTGGCCGGTGACCTTCCACAGTGCTCAGAAGGTGGTTCAGAAGCATCCTTGGGACTTGTGCAGTTCTCAGAGGTGCAGAACAATGTAAACAAAGGCAACATGTGGCATGGCAACGGGTTTCCGAGCGAGGCGAATCGAGCATGCATCGTCCCATCATTCCGAGGCAGGGTTCGGGCCACCTCCTTTTGTAATTAATTTGTTAATTAATTAGAATTTTTTAATATTTAATTAGCTAGAGTAGTTAATTATTTATTTGGTTTGTATTATTTGTTCGGACCCTTCGAGAGAGGGCAATGTTGTAATAAGTGTGCGTGAGTGTGTGCATGTCTTCTAACCCCCACTTCTTTTTCCCTTTTACTTACCTGCTTTCAATTGTTAGTTTTAGGGCACGTTTCAATTAGCATACTTATGATAGCATGTTTGTATCATTCATCTGTATTGCATGCACCGGGCTCGGCACATCATGCTAACTGCATTGTATTTCAATTCCAAGTTGAATACATGTATTGGATTGCCGCACCTCATATGCCAGTCTTAGGATAGCCGCGCCTATCTTAGTTGCATTTTGCATGCGTTGCATTAGCCATTGCTAACATGAACTAGGATCGTGCATGATTACTAACTAGTTTCTTGTTTTGACTCGGAGTACACTGTGAGTGTTTATGCTTTAGCATCTTGTATGTATGTGAATGTTAACATGACAGCATGCTTGCCATGAGGCTAATTGCTTATGTGATATAACTGCCTGAATGCCTGTGGGTGAAGGTTGGATTGCTTGAATTGGAACAATTCATTGGAATCCGTGTTTTAGCCTACTTGCAAGTAGCAAACTTCAAACCATTTCCAAACAAACGGATATGCAATGCTTTGTCCCAAATTAGGCGATCTAGTCTCTACTTGTTTTGTTGTGCGCATCACGTAGTAAAGATTAGCTAATTAACCGAAATAAGAGCACATAGTGTTTTCAAAACTCGATATCATGGTTAGTAGAGGCCGGTCTTTGATCGGGCCAGCGGGGGTGCTCACAAAGTGACCTTCCCCAATCGTACCCAAGTTCCCGAGCCGAGGCAACTTTGGTGATAACGGACACGTGGCCTTAGGCACGAGTCAGGGTTTCCTAAATTCCCCTAAAATAAAATATTTAGGTGGCGACTCTGTATCTGGCAAGGCAGTCCATGTTTGGCACTTCTTTCTAAAAATCAGTTTTTCAAAACGATTTGCCGGATTTGGATTCTTGGATGATTCATCGGTCTTGCATCGCACTCCGTGAGATTAGATACAAGACCGTGACAATTTGAGTCCGAACTGTAGTGAGCCCAAATGAACAAAACGGGATTTCTCCCGAGACGTTCGGGGACGTCTACAGATACTAATTATTAGATTGGTGCAAGAATTTCTCCAGTTCGGCAATGACCTAATATTCCATTGGATGTTGATATTGTTAATTCCACTGCAATGGACATTAGCACTCGAGAAAAAATGGAGAAAGAATGGCTACAATGCGAAGTGTACCATTTTCACAGGACCATGACCATAAATTGTTATAACTTGCTTTTTCTTACAGTTTGTTTATACCATTTTCTAAAACTTCAATGGATCTATTTTCTCTTCTTCAATATTTTCAAAGGCATTTGTTTGTTCATGCGCCTACAAGGCCTAAACTTGTTTGGGTTCACGCAGGATTTGTGGTGATCATCGTCCACCCCGTGAAATTCAATGTCCAATCAAATCCCTTCTATGATGGATCTTGAATTCCTCCTATGTGGATCCAATCTGTTAATTGTCAGATCCAATCCAACAAATCTGGGCTGCGCTGATTGCTTAAGTTCTGATTGTAGAAATAAACCACCTAGATACATGTTTTACAAAATGTTACACAATGTCTGTTGCTGAGTGAAGTAATTGCAATTTTGGATTTTTGAAAACATATTTTAGAGATGTTTCAGTTAATTAGTGCAAATTAGGATTCCTGGAAATAAGGATCTGTTGGGAGATTGATTGCATGTGAAGTACCCTTTTTGTTCAGCTTAATTTGTCATTCATTTTCTAACTTTCTGCGCTACAACTTTTTTCTTTTTCAACATTTACTTTTGGTTGGGCAATCTGTATTCAAATTTCTAATGTTACCCTGTATTAACAGCAGAAGAGGCGGGGGGGATGTTGGGGTAGATTGTCTAGTTTTGGCTCACAAAAAGGTGCAAAACGTATTGTACCTGCATCTCGTATTCCAGAGCCCAATTCATTGGCAAATGCACCAAATGGATCTCAAAATGTTGGGTTGACTAACTAGACTACAGCGCAAGTGCCTTCTCTTCTAGCTCCGCCATCCTCACCTGCATCTTTCTCAATTTCTACACTTCCTTCAACAGCCCAGTCACCCAGCTCTTTCTTTTCATTGTCTACCAACTCATCTGGGGGTCCTTCGTCCACAATGATTACCACAGGGCCATATTCCCATGAGACGTAACTGGTTCTCCTCCTGTTTTCTCATCCTTCACAACTGAACCATCTACTGCTCCTCTCACACGACTGCCAGAGTTGGCTCACCTAACTACTCCCTCTTCTCCAGATGTGCCTTTTGCTCAGTTCCTTTCATCATCTATCGATCTTAATAAAGATCTTGAAAAGACCAATTACATCACTACAAATGATCTTCAAGCAATATATTCCCTTCATCCTGGTTGTCCCACCACTGCCAGTAGTCTTCCATCACCTGTTTCAAGGAGCCCAAGTGGCTGTTTATTGTCATCTTTCCCTGAACGTGAGTTCTCCACTCAATGGAACCCTTCAATTTCTTCTCATGACACCAAATACCCTCCCAAGTTTGAATCAAGCAGGTTTACAAAGCTTGAAACAGTTAGTGCCTCTAAGTTGTCTCAAGGTTCAAATTTCTTCTGCCCTGCTTTGCACAATTCTATCTGGACCAGAATCCATTGCCCCCATTAAGTGTTTCTAGGGAATCGGATGTTTACTCTAATGGTGGCAATGAGCATCATAACAGGCAGAATAAGACCTGCAAACAAGATGTGAAGGAAATAGAAGCTTACAGGGCATCCTTTGGGTTCAGTGCAGATGAAATAATCTCTACAGCTCAATATGTGGAAATTCCTGACATATTGGAGGACTCCTTTACCATGACACGTTTCACTGCCGATAAGCCACATATAGGAGGAAGTATATTGGCTGCTACTAATGAAGGAGGACAAAAGGCAAAGGAAACACGTACAAACTTGCGGAGTAAAAAAAAACATTCGTCAGAGTTAGATGATGTTTATGGGGTTTTATGTGGTGAAATGCCAGGTTTAGGCAATAATTTTGAAGGTGAATTATCTCTTGTTGATAAATATAATATGTCCTTGTTGATTGTTCATAAATCATAGGAAAGAAAAAGAAAATCTTAGTAAGGAAATTAACTTGGACTCTTAAATTTCTTGTCTTGCTATTGTTTTTCAGCAATCAATTGGAGGATACATTGGATGTTCTTGTTCATTCAATTATCGTAGTATTTGTTGTTCTTCCGAGTTTATCTCCTTCCTCTCCTATTTCCCGCTGCAATAATGTTTCTTTTCTTGTGTGAATTAGGAGGCCATATATCACGGGGGCAACCTAGAGATGCTTCTGGGCAAAGTACACCTGGTAGTGGTAACTGTATTCTGACTGATGAAGAGAACATATTTTCTAGGATGGGAACTTCCAAAATTAGCAGGAAACATCATCTGGGATTATCAAGCTCTAATGCAGAAATTGACTACAGGAGAGCAAGGAGCTTGAGACACGGAAAAGGAGACTTTCCATGGCATGATTAGTCATCAAAGCTGAAGGAAATGTACTTTCTCGTATGTTTTATTATGCAGGTTTTGAATTTCATATGTGAAAGGTGAAATGGGGCAATTGTGCTACCACTCCATCTTGCTCTCGTCTACAAGGGAAAATGAACTGCTGTGTGTCTCCTGGTGGTGGTGTACGTAAAACATATGCTGTAAGTGCACTGAAGGCACTGCAGGTCTATCGTTTCTAGTAAACTTTCTGCAACTTTTGTCACGCTGGTGAGTACGAGGTTCCTTTTTTGCTTTTTCTTTTTCTTTTTCTTTTTCTTTGCTAAATGTCACCCTTTTGTACCAGATTTGAGAGGATGTTTGGCACAAAAGTTTTTCACCTTTTTTATTATGTAGCCGCAAAGGTGCTGTTAATTCTCCTTTTCTTTTTCCTTTTTTAAATGTATGTACAACCACTTTTATCAGTTCTAATATATACAATCATGAGAGTAATTGTACTTATTAACTAAATTCTCCAGCTGTCAAACAAATAATTTTTCCTTCAAAACATCTCATTCAGATTTTAGTTGTTTGTAGTGAAGATGTTGCTTTCTTTTAGAATATCGTTGCGTATTGTTTTTTCACTCGCCAAGGGAAATTTCAGGTCAGGCTATACATAGCTAAATTACCCCAACTTTGACAGCTTTCAGATAATGTTCTTATTGGAAGGGTATTGAATCAATGCATCACTTTATCTAGTAATTCCATGAACATTCCTGTTTTTTTTTCCCCCTTCAAGGGTAGAAGCCTTTCTTTTGCAGATGAGATCCACTGATAAAATATTGAAACATGAGTTGAGAGATTTGGAGCCTCTTGGAATATAATGCTTTTAACGTGCTGGAACAATCCTCATAAAAAAAAATAATAATAAAGAGAGAGAGAGAGATGACCAGTAAACCAACCCCCTTGGGATTTATAAAAAGTCATATATATTTACTAGTAGTTATTGTGTGAAAAAAAAAAAAAAAAAAAATTGTCAATAGTTGATTTTGTAGGGGAAGGCCTTGACTATATCATCTCACAAGGCGGCAGCTGCTGCTATCAGATGATCTTTGCCTTTAGTCAATCAATAATCCACAAATTTTTTTGTAACACCGAACAGAAATGTCCATGTCATCATTACAGCCAATAAATAAAATTAAAACATACCATTTACAACCCCATACAGATTGTGTCAGTGTTGGCTATGCAACCTTTACTCTATGAATTCATCTCATAAGGCGGATCAGATGGCTTGTTTATGTTTTCTTGTTCCAGCTTTTTCTGCGATGATTCATCTACGGACGACATTGCTCCTGGATGTGAAGCCTGATAAAAAGACATTCAATTCAATAAAGGAAAAATATTACGAGGCTAAAGAAACTCCCACCACAGAAACTCTCATGTTAGAGGTTCACATTTGAGCATGCAGTTTCCATAAATGGCATATCCATTTCTCTTGCGCACTCCACTTTCAGATCCTCCTGAAGATGGCAACAAAAACAGAAATAAATAACATGAAATGGAAAATGAGGCGGCCTAAACTTAGTTCATCATCATGTATATAAAATAAGAAGCTGGAGTTATTTTCCTGCCTCCTCAGTTTCTCAAAGTAAAAATATCATATAAAATCACAAGTTACTGGTTTCTTAAAAACGTCTTCTCAAACCTTAATAAGCAGCTACCAATCAACACATAAAATCACAAGTAACTGGTTTCTTAAAAACGTCTTCTCAAACCTTAATAAGCAGCTACCAATCAACACATAACAATTAATTATGTCAAATTCAGGCCTAAATGAGTGGACTATAGCTCCTAGCACAGATAAAATCTCCAGTCAAGGCACTCTAAAGCTTTGGCAAAAAAGAAAAATTTGCCCCTGTTAAATAAGGACAACCATCATATCAAACTTGCCCCTCTTTCTCTGAAGATTTGAGTGAGGGCCTCGCCCGAAAGTTTTGACTAAACTAAAGGCTGTAAGCTCCATTTCCTCAGTCACTCCATTTGTTACTGTTCAAAAAAAGCTCTTACCTTCCACGCCCCTCATAGCTCTTAAGGGAAGGTTTCTTTTTCTACACCCCATTCCCAGATGCTAGATTCGACCGAGCAAAGGGCCTTGTTGAGAGAGAGAGAGAGAACAATTGAATAATGGGCTATGCAAAAGCTCTAAAGCAATTGTTTTTTTTTTTTTTTTTGTTCCATTTCTGATACACACAACTTTGTGCCCAACAATTTTCTTGAATATAATATTCAAACTTAAAAGCTTTGGTAGCCCCACCATCACCTGGCATGGGGCCCACTCAAGATTTTGTGTGTTCATATGTTTGTTTGTAAACATGTTGGCGTCACTAACATTTTCTAACTAGATTTTGTTGATGCTAAGCAAAACTAAAGTGCAACAGAGCATACCGTGTCTTTAGGCTCGAGATATTCCCTCTTCACTCTGCCTGGCAAATGCTTGCTATACAGGAAAATTAAGGAATAATGGATTAGCAGCCATAAAACAACACATAAGCTAGAAAGTGAAAATAAATTTAAGAATGTACCGGTCATCATCAACATCCATATCAGTATCACGATCCCACCTTTCATCCTCATCCTCTTGATCCTCATCAGCCTGAATGTTAGAACATCTTAGAAAAAGAACACTTTGTATGCAACTACAGTCTTTTAATGTGAGACCAAATTATAATAATAAAAATTGGATGCAGACATTAATTTTAAAATAAATTACAATAATAAAAATAATAGCAAGAAGAGTAGCAATCATGAATGATGCCTAAAATTAAAGGCTCAAACCCTAAAATTATGGGTCAAAACTAGTACTTTGGCCTAGTGATCATTTAGGTACAGTATTGAGTGGGCGGTATCATGGTTTGAATCCCATTATGTCTGGCTTTCTAAAATGTCTGTATATTTTCTTCCAAAATTAGAATAAGTGGTCCTAAATTCTAATAAATTCCCTAGTAACTTTTTTATAGGTTTAAGGAATTACACCAACATCAAAATAACGAAGAAGAAAAACACTAAAATAAACTTATCCCAATTACATGCCAGCAATTGATGCACACTGTTCCACCCACTGAGCTTAGAACTATAAAACTACTACAGATGCTATTTTCATCTCATGCCTTCAAAGAACACTGATGACTCTAAATTACAACATCTTCACAATTCACATTTGGATCAGGGAGCATGTCAGGATAATGTGGATGGAACATCTGTATTTTGGAAACTAACCTCAAACCATGGATAGAACCAAAAAAAAAGACATATTTCTATTATAAAAGAAAGGTTTCATGCTTGGAAAGATAAGAAACTGACCTAGGAAATGTATCCCCAAAGCATGGATATAATTCTGTCTTGGTGTAACATTTTGATAAACTCACAAATGGAAATGTTTTGGAAACACGAGGGAAACAACATAATATTTTGGAAACATACAAAAATGTTTGAAAATTAAACTACATAAAGACTAGTAATTAAACAAGTGAACATGTTTGAGGTGAACTCATTCATTACAAGTGTACAATTTGGTTGTATATATCATTGTCAGCACAAACAACATATAAGACAAATAAATGTTATCAAACATTAGCTTTTATAATTCTTAATGTGCATAAAGCTCCTATTAAACAATGTTTAAAAAGAGAGTAAATTACTTTGACAACACATTATTGAAAACACATTGACACCCCTTCACTCTATGAAATAGCATTGCCCTCCCTTTTTTAGTAACACTCTAGTCCTTCTGTGAGTCAACTGTCTGTTGACCAACAAAAAATGTTGACCACAGCAAAAATAATACATAAAATGTCAAATTTGCCCATATAAGTTAGACATTCCCCTCCCCTATGCCCTCTTCAAACAAAACCATCTCACAGCCCAACCATTTGATACCGTCCAGTAGCCATTTACCACCATCCACTAGTCATTTGGTCACTTGCCACCAGACACCAACCACCTACCAATACTCATACCACCACTTCCTCACTCCCCTCCCTTTCCCAGCAAGATCCATCACCATCTTCTCCATCTTCCTCCATCCATCAGTCATTTACCATTGGCAACCAACCACTTGCAATAGGCCACTACCAGCCACGCCACCAATAAAAACCCCTAATCAATTCATTGCACCCATATCATCTCTCATCCCCAAACCACCAATCCCTTCACAGTCATCGCAACTTTCATGCCGCCAAAGTATAATTGCCCTCAAATCACAGCCCCTTGATGAAAACAAATAGAGAGGGAATTAAGATTTGAGGAATGAATTTCTGTTGAGAGAAAGGTCATTGCAGTTGACCACTCCGTTGCTGCCAACTACCACTATCCATAGCTATCACTGGTTGTTTCCAAAAATGCCACCATTGATTCTGCTCTCAACAACAATGAGAGAGAGAGTTAATGGTGTTAACTATCAGCGTGCCAACGTTGAATTTGAGACAGAGACCCCCAATCCAACCTCCCAACCCTTTTCCAAATCTTACAGGATTGTTGGAATACTTTTTTTTTTCTTGTTTTTTTTGTGATAAGTACAAGATTGTTGGAATACACCCTCCATAATAACCATTTCGTCAAACACTGGACAGTGTCGTTTCTGCCATGCCATCCCATATCTTTCATTCTACAAGGCCGAATGTGTGGAAGAAAAACACTGATGGTATTCAATCTGATTGATTGCATCGATGATGCTTTGATCAGATAAGCTTAACCCTAAACTCACCAGACAACAACCCATGTTTCGATCTTGTGGTGCCTGTGGAATTTGGATAGTTGGGCAGTGGGGCTAGCGGTGGGGGGTTGTGGTGGGTTCCAGTAAGGGTTGAGGTGGTGGATTAGCAACAGTGGACCAGGGTTTGCAGTGGTTGTGGCCAAGGTTTCTGGTTGTTGCAGATGTAAAGAGATGGAAAGAGAGGTCAGAGTGGCGTTGGCAGTACTGATGAGATGGCAAGGCGGCAATTGGCGATTCTAACGGCAGGGTGCCTATTGTCAATGAGAAATGGCGGTAGGGCAGCGATTGGCAACACTGATGATACTGATGTGGTGGTAGGGTGGCATAACCAACAACAAATGAAGGTGGTTGGTAGTTGTAAAGGCTAGTGAGTGAGATGCGCGCACGCTAGAGAGAGAGAGAGAGCAAGTTCTAGAGTGAGAAGAATGCTGTAGAATATTATAAAATCATAAGGGTATAATAGTAATTTATCAATTCCATTTAACTTTGTTAACTAACAAGGGAGATCAGTGATATTTCAAAAAAATGAAGGTCAAATTTTGATTTAAGAGTAATAGGAGGGGTGTTCGTGTTATTTACCCCTAAAAATATATTCAAAAATAATAATATAATGACAATAATTAACAATAAACAAAAGTCAAAGGGATTCCAAGGCGTAAGGTGATCCTTTTGATCACAAGACTAAAAGGTATTTTTAGTAAGGTTAAAAACAAAGCTCAGCATCGGTCAAAAAGTACCAGAAGATAATAAGCAAAAGGTTTAAAATGTTTGGTTGGACACTAGGGTTTTCCATTGTAAGAGAACAAATAAGAAAGGCCAAATTCTAGAAGCAATCAGAAAAGATAGGAACCCAAAAAAATTATCCCAAAATGTGATGCGTGGCTCAGATTCAATTTTTATATAGCGGGACACATACTTGAAATGAATCTCCACCACACATTGCTTTTTTGGGTATTTTTCTGAGTAAATGTTCTAGGTACCTAGCATTGCTAAGAAGCAATAGGACAATAAAATATAAAATAAATAAAAATAAAAAAAGGCACTTGTAATAGGAATGAAAGAGAATAAGCAGTTTAACCATTTCCCCTCTCTTTTGTTTCTCTCTCTTTCCCATTCTACTTTTTCCTATTCTAAACCAATTTCGAGATGTCTTCTTTGTTCTTAAATCTTCTATTAAAATAAAATTAAAAAAAGAAGAAGACAGAAAGAAAAGAAAAGATGCAATCATAAACAACTAGTTTTTGTTAAGAATTCTTGATACATGTTAAAACAACTCATTGTTTGATATGTTCCAATACATTGCAATATGTTCTTATAGAGACAATAGAATTTTGGTTTTCCAATAATGTTCGTGTCGGTCTCCTAGGAAATGCCATATGTTTCAATGGAAATAAAACAAAATTTTATTCTAAGCCCCTAAGAAAAAGTGAAAAAGGAGAAGCAAAAACAATTTGAAGATGGGAAGATGTTACTTGACTATCATAACAACATTAATGTGCATTAACCTTAAATTAAGAGAGGCTCCCACATAAGTTTAGGAAGTGGCAGCCAACTTTTGTCTTGTATCCATAGTTGTCAAATCGGGATTTGTATTGTGAATTGAAATGGCCTCGTACCGTATCGCAAATTGAATCGAATCGAATCGTGAATCGTGAATCGCAAAGATTCGGTCACCTTTTCTAAATTACTTAAAAACATATATCTACACATTTAGATGTTAAATATATCTTATTATTAATATAAAATATTCACACTTAAATCAATAAAAATATTATTTTGAATGATAATCACGTAGTTTAACAGATAAGAAGTTAACAAAGGCTTTTAAGTAAGATCACCATCTTACCTTTTTTTCTTTTTTAGATATTTCTTATGAACCATTCTTAATAAAGATAATAACCAAATAGGCAAACTATCAAGTTCTAAAATAACAATAATTAATAATGATACTGATATTTGGACAGTAAGCATGCATACTTTTCTAAGTAACAATGAGCAAATAATAAGAAAGAATTATTTATAATCTTTTATTTTAAAGCCTAAAACATTTTAAAAGGTATAACTGACATCACACATATAATATTCAATTTAATAAAATAGCAATAGATAATTCATAATGTAACTTTAATCTTAAACATCTTTAGAATATATATTATAATTTTTTTAAGGGGGAAAAAAATGAGAAGAAAGGTTAAAAATATGTTGGATTTGACTAAATCTGATTGGATCCTATTAAAAACTCCATAATCACTAAAATAACAACAAATCATGTACATATGTTGGTTATTTTGGTATTAAACGCTATTAAAAGTTGTATTATGTCATTTTCACTAAAAAGATGGAGACAAAAAGAGTCGAAAATATGTCGGACACAATAATTTTAAAAATTGCATGAATCGTAAAAAGTGAATTGAATCGTGAATCGATTATGAATCGTGCAATTCACTAGAGATTCACTTCCAAAATAAATTCACCCATAGATTCGTATTGATTTTGTAAAAATTGCGAATCGAATCATGAATCAAATCGATAATCGTAAGATTCTGATAACAGAGCTTGTATTTAGGAAGAAGCAAAACATAAGATTCACTTTAGGGAGGTAAAACGTCTCCCACCAATGTTCTGAAATCTAGACCGTTGACTAAACTGAAAAGGGGACAGGCTCAAGGGTCACTGGTTCAACCATTGGGTCAACTAGAATAAACCGTGACATCAGATTACCTCATAAATATATTGACAATTATCAAATAAAAATACAGCTATAAAAAAAATTTCATTTAAATTATTTTTATACTTATACATACATAGATATTTAAAATAATATTTTAAATATATATAAATTTATTCTGTGTAGGAAAGTTAATTAAACTTGTGGTTTAGACAAAATAAACTTATTGTAATAAATATACAATGTTCCTTACATATAAGCAAGACAATATGATGGCTTGGTGGTTGAAGACCACGCTTCCACAGAAGAGGTTTCAAGTTTGTAAGTTGTAACACAAGTTTAGTGTTGAGAATGCAGAATTTCTCAGGTTGTGCACAATCTGCAGGGTTCAGCTGGTTCACTTCAACCGGCGCCGGTTTGAGTGATCATCCAGTTAAACCACGGTTCTTACTGGTTCCAAGTAAATAAGCCGGTTTTCAATCAAGTCCTGGTTTTAGGGTCTATCCGGACCGGTCGACTGGTCAACCAGCCGGGCCGGTCCGATTTTGAAAACATTGGTGTCCTCTAACTTTATCAAACACAAAACATAAAGGGAACATCAAACAATATTTTATATCAATTTGCAATAGAAGATATATTAAAAACAACCCCACACAACCCTTATCCTAGGCTATAATGGGACAGGAGATGGTAAGGGGGCATTAAAACACTAAGGGGTTGTTTGGGGTGTCTTAAATAAGTGTACTTTTTATCTTTTTGGACTAAAAAGTAGAGAAAAAAAATATGGATGTTTGGATTAACTTTTTGACTTTTTATGACAAAATGTGTATTAAAATATTGTATAAAATTGTAAAATTACGAAATTGCCCTCGCTGACACTGCACAGCAGTACTGTGCAGTGCCTAATCTGTCACTGTTCAATTTTTTTTTTATTTTTTATATGACATGTGTGGCTGCAAGTGTGTCACCTAGATTAATTTGTTGGAAAGTGTGGCTACATACTTTGAATGCAGTGTTGTTTTGTTTTTTTTTTTTTTTTTTTTTTTTTCAATTGACAGATTTTCCGCCAAAAGAGGTAAATAGTATGAACTTTTTTGCCTTTTTAGTGACTTTTTGACTTTTTGAATTTTCTTGAGGATGCCAAACTTGGCCTAAGCATAGTCCCCACGATCATAGCGATTTTAAAAGGTCAACCATAGTGATTTATACTAATGGAGAACTTTACGGATGTAGTCCCAAATATCCAAAATCTAGTAAGCTCCAAATAGAAAGCAAACAGCACAATACATCAACTAACCAAGCACAATACATCAACTAAAGCAAACAAAAATGGCCCAATCCTAGCTCCCCTTTCTTAGGTGTCAAAACCAAACCCTGCCATGTGTCACTTCAATTAAGCAAGTCAAGTGCAAAGCTCGTGACCTTTGGGCAAATGTGGGCAACCCCAATATCATATCAATATAAGCAAACTAAATTCATAAAATGTCATCCTAATATAAATAAATAAAATAAAATAAATCCTAAACTACATCATAGTACCTAAATATAGCAAACAATTAGCAATTTGAACTTTAGGTTAGCTGCATTCCGTAGCACTTACAAAACTGTTAAAACATCTCAGTCATCCTAAATCATACTTTCTAGATAATATTTAGACAAAGACAATATAACCTTTTCCCAAAAAGCAAAATGCAAAAATCACATTAATACAAAAAAAAATTGAAATAGGCTTTGCCACCAAACTGTAAAAAACAACAGCAACCAAAACATCATAGCACAAAGGTTTCCTTAGCTAACTTTTGAGTCACTTTTCCCTCAGATATCAGGCAGTATCTTGCCAAGAGAAAACTTTGCATTTCCAGAATCAAATTAAACAAGTATCAGATATCTAGCCAAGTCTCAAACTGATAGGAAAAACAAAAAGGGAAAGAAACATAGCCCCAAAAATATATGAATGCATTACCAGAAGCAGAAACAAACCTCTGGGAGCTCAATATCAGGAGGCCGTTCCTGAAACTGCACACTTGGTGCATGCTGAAGTTTTGACAAATTATCAAGAAGCTTTACTCTTATATCATCCAGTAGCTGACGTGAATTCTTGTTTTCCATGTTACTTGGAGCAACATGAAGAGTATAATCCGGACCAAAATATTCATAGTACTCATGTTGTGGCATCTTATCATCAAGGTCAGCCCCAAGTGCAACTCCAGTCTGTTCAAAGGATAACAGCTTATTTGTTTAACTTTTAAAAAATTAAAAATATAAATATAAATAAAATAAAAAAAAAACCAATAACTTCCTCAAATGGGAAGAAGGCACTTATCAACGATTCAACAATAATCAACAATTTTTTATGTTGAGAAAAGAATCTATGTACAAGTTCCATATTAACAAAAGGGAGGTGGTGTTCATCATTGAATTGGCAGCCAAGTAATTTCATTTAGCTCGGCAGTTGCAATTCTGTGATAACCAAGCATGGGCAGGTGAATTGGCCAAGATAACAGCTAAAGAACCAAACGCTGGAGTTCGGTTTCTGGGTTGTGTGCATTTCAAGGATCAATCTCTACTCGAAATGGGTTAGAGCATCTTGGCATACCCAAAATAAATAAATAAATAATGTCTGCAATTCAATGTTATACTGCGAAATGGTAGAGTATAGTATATTATATACAAGGGTAGTTTCATATGTTTATGTTTAATCGTTGTTTCTTAATTTGGATTTAGCTTTTGGTACATATATTAGTGCTTATAATATGATCAGATTTAAGCAAATATCGTTTCCCTTTTGTAACACGGTATCAAAGCTCTAGTTGACAAAGGTCTTGGATTCAAGTCTCTCCATTGACATTTGGTACTTGATCCCCATTTGGTTTCCTCTTCTTTGTTTAGTTGTTTGCTTCTCCTTCTGTTTGCTTCTATGTTTGTCTCTCCACTTACAAGACGAGATTGCACTTGAGGGAGGGTGTTAGATAACTTCATATACATTGTTGGGTCTAATTGATCGCAACCTTTTCTCTCTCTTCTGGTTGATTGCCAGCGTCAGGGTTTCGTCAATCGCAAGTTCCCCTATTCATTCTTCGTCGTTGTTTGAACCCTAGCAGTGTTTGTCGTCAAGCAGGACATCGCTTTACTCCTCTCGATCAGTGCTCATCATTGCACTTAGTTTGATCCGTATTCCAAATCCAAATCCAAATCCAAAACCCTAGCTATCGCATTTTGTTGATTCATGATTGTCTTCCACCTTCGACTCACGATTGATAGACTCGTGATTGGGAAGTTGATCTCTCTCTGGTGTTTGATCTCTCAGTTGATTTCTGGTGCTTTCTTTCAGATTCATGATCGTTTTCCATCCTTTACTCTACTCACTAATGATAGGTCGGTTTGTTGTTTTCAGTTTCACAATTGATAGGTCTCTCTCAGGTTTGAAGCCTTCTTTCTCACACAGACTGGGTATTTTTATTTATCTCAGATCTCTTTTACTAATTATTGTTTGCTGCTAAATAGTAGTTTAGTATTTGGCCCACTTTTCACAATGGCTGACAATAAATTACAAGCCATTAGTATTCGTTTGAATGAGAAAACTATTCATAGTCCAATGTTTTTAAGAACTTTCTCCTGGGAAAATATCGTTGGGAGCTATGCAACCAGCTCCACATGTAGACCCACAAATTCTAAGGTTAAGGGTTATCAGTTGGCTCTTCACACATGGAAAAGGAAGAATGCCCAAGTCCACAAATGGCTAAATAATTCTATTGCGCCAAGCATAGACATGAATTTTTTGAAATATGACAACCACCAAAGTTTGGGATTAAATTGTATCTGAAGTCAAATTTTGGTAAGTAATGTGAATTAGAGATGTCTTTTTGGTGTGCCAAGCAAAGGGACAAATCTGTTCAAGAATTTTATAATTAGATGTCTATTATTGGAACCGGTTAGCTCATGGAACCATCAGATTTACAATTGTTGGATAGTTATCTTCAGTACATGGAAAGACACAAATTGGTACAGTTTCTCATGGCTCTTCAGGATCAATTTGAGCCCCCTCATGGTACTAGTCTACACAGGTCACCTTTGCCTTCTGTTAATGGGGTGGTTCATGAACTTATTGTAGAGGAGACTTGCCTTAAGGTTTCTCATATTACTCCTCCATCTCAGTGTGTGTTTGCTACTTCATCTCAGCCTCCTCTCTTGCCTACTCCGTCTTCTTACCTCATTTAGGTTACCAGAAAGCCCAAACCCAACATTGCTAATGATGAGTGTAGCTTTTGTCATCAAAAGGGTCAGTGGAAGTTTGCTTGCCCTCATCTTACAAATTCAAAGGGGCATGCCTCTTCATAGTCCATTTCTCGCTCCTCTTCCCAGGTGTCATCTTGTCCTCCTGCCGCTCTTGCTGCACCTACCTCTAACAGTGTCTTTCATTCATCTATTCGATCCATGTTTGAGCAGCTCCAGTCTATGCTTCAATCCCAACCTCATGCTTCCGCCATGACCGCTACTCATTCAGGTTTGCTTGGTTCTCCTTTCACAAGTATCTCTCCTACTACTTGGATTTTTTAATCAAGTTCTTCACATCATATGACTTCTAGCTTGTCTAGTCTTAGTAACTGCTATTCTCCTCCTATTACTATTGTTACAGCTAATGGCCCCCCTATGTATGTTGTCTCCATTGGATCTGTTCTTCCCTCTTCTTCATCCTCTTTATCTATTCCTGATGTCTTTTATGTTCCCCAATTGTCTCTTAGTTTGTTGCCCATTAGTCAACTCTCTGATTTTGGTTTTAATGTTTTCTTTTCTTTTGGATGTGTTGTTCGGGATCGAACATAAAAGAAGCAAATTGGAATTTATATGTTCTCGAGATCCAACACATTCCTATGGAGTCTTCGTCAGCCATTATGGCTTCCTTCTGTCTCAATCATAAGTAAGGTCATTTGTCTAGTGATAGTTTGAATAATTTAGTTAAGTCTGGTGTCTTGGGCTCTATCCCCGTTAGTGATGTCCCCAAGTGTCGCAGATGAAAACTTGCAAAGACGTTTGCTTTACCTTATAATAAAAGCAAGTCTATTTCTATCTCTCCTTTTTCTATTGTTCATACTGATGTGTGGGAGCCATCCTTGTTGATACTAACAGGTTGATCTCGTTACTATGTTTCTTTTGTTGATGATTATAGTCATTTCTCTTGAGTATATCTTATGTCTCACAAGTTTGACTTCTTTCGCATATATCATACATTTTCTTCCATGGTTCAGACTCAGTTTTTCACTATCATTAAGGCCTTGTTTGTCATAACCTCAAAAGGTCAAAAAGTCACTATCTTATTTAAGTCACATCATCTTATTTAAGTTACATCACCTCTCTATCACATCACTTCAAATCCAACCCAAACCCAACCCATATTTCATAAAAACTCAAAAAGTGCACTTATTTAGATCATCCCAAACAACCCATAAAATTCTACAGTCTGTCTTGGTTGGGAGTATTTTGTCTAATTTTATAGCTTTCTTAGATGCATGTGGTACTACTATATTCATCAATCTTCCTATTCTGATACCTCCGCACAAAATGGCAAAGCTGAACTAAATACCGTCATCTTCTCAACACCGCCTATTCTCTCTTCATTGGTTCCTCGTGGTTTTGGGGGTAAGGCAGTTCACAGCACAACCTATCTTATCAATTGTATGCCTACAACTCTTCTTTCAAGTATCTCCGCTTATGAAAAATATATGGTCAGGTTCCTAATTATTCCTTGTTACGTCTCTTTGGTATAGCATGTTACGTGTCTTTGTGCAAATATTGTTTTTCTTTTGTAACAATAACCACCACAAAATAATAACATTAAGGAAGAAAGTTCCAGTCGTTTCCATGAGCCAACATACTGGCATATAACTTGACAAGTTAGAGGGCAATGTAGATCAAAACACTGACAGAGCAACAGGCCCACAAATATAAGAAACATGTTGAAAGGATTTTGTTATTACAAGGAAAAGGAAAAGAAACCATAAATCTGAGACAAACTGGCAGAGTCTCATCACCTAATAGATTATAAGAAATAAACAAAATAAAGCTTTACTAAACAAAATAAAGTTTTACTTTATAAAAAATAAAATAAAATTTCAAATAGAGGATGACAGTGAAACTGTAATTTACTCAACAGAGAATTACATAAATCACTGACTTACCCTTTCAAATTTAATTAAAAACAAAAAAAAATAAAAAATATGTAAGTTTAAGAAGGGGGATATTGGGTTCATACTCACATCAAGGACAAAACTCTTTTAGACACACTTAGCTTCTACAAAACATGTATTTTGGGGTTGTCGGTGTATTTTAGTCATTCAGACATTGTTCCATTTAATGGAAGTGTTTCTACAATTTTAAGTCTTTTATTCAATTCCTAAAATGGTCTGTAGTTAAATATTACCATCTAAAGGTTAACAAAAAGCACCTTCAAATGGAATATGAAACCGTGATTCAATTATTGAAAATAATCACTTGCAATATGATTATATAATACCTCATAGCACCAGCAGCGAGCAACGTTACGTATGGTATAACCACCTCCACCCAGCAACAGTAGAGGCACATTAAATGATCTCATGTATCTTACACACTCTGCATGACCTTTTATTGAGAGATTAAAACAGCCTAATCTATCCCCAGACAACGAGTCTGCACCACATTGTAAGACCACAGCACCAGGCTTGAAAACTTCCATCACTTTGCCCATTATTGGCTTAAACAAGGACTGGTAGCTCTCATCATCAATACCATCATCTAGTGGGACATTGAGAGAGTAATATTTCCCCTTTCCATATCCAATATCACGTACATCACCCGTACCAGGGAAATAATCTCCGAATTTATGAAAGGAAACAGTCATAACCCTGTCTGTAGTATAAAAAGCCTCCTCTACACCATCACCGTGATGAATATCGATATCAACATATAAAACACGCTGCAAGATCAACACAAACACAATATCAAATTATATCACGTGATAGCCTAAGTAAGCAATGTGAGCTTAATGTGCTAAATGCTCTGTGTGCGCGCAAGAATTCTTATTCTAATATGCAAAATACTTGATGCAATTGCAAGAACAAAACTCGTAACTCATCAAAACCTTATAAATAATTTTTTTAAGAGAAGGCCAATTTTTCTCAAAATAAAGCAAAAATTTACAAATTAATAGTATACAATCTAAGGTCGTCAAAAATTACAAATTTAGGCTAAGTGGTAAAGACTTTAGGGTATGATCCAAGGTCTCGAGTTCCAGTCACCCCAAGGGGCAACTGGATGTTTGCTATTCATTAACTTCATGACCCTGGGATTTGTTGAGGTGCCTGGACACCCAATTATCAAAAAAAAAAAAAATTGACCTAAATTTACAATAAAAAAAATTTTATATGGAAGGTTTGTTGAAACCCAAGTAGCATAGACATGTGACACGATACGGACACGACAAGAATTGTAAAAGGTAAAATGGGGCAACTGTGTTAACACTCCATCTTGCTCTCGTCTACAAAGGAAAATGAAATGTTGCATGCATCTCCTGGTAGTGGTGTACGTAAAACTAGTATCAACTCACTTGATGCAAGAAAAGACCTCTTGCAAGAAGGTTGGCTAGAATTTCTTATAAAAACACAACCATTGCTCAGTTAATAATGAGAATATTTAAATATTTTGATTCCATTTATTATTTTCATTAAGCACATAAGAAAGGAGTTGTATGAGATGAAAATCTCACCAATAAGTTGAAATGAAAGTTTTATATGATTGTTACAAGGCCTGCTAATATGTATGATACAGGATATTAAATGGTTAAAAAATAATTAGTATAGTTTAAAACGAGAATTTTAGTATGAATGAATGGTTTACAAGAAAAGATAAAATGAGAATTGTATTCATTAGGGGCAAGTTAGAAGAGGCACCAATTGAACATAAAATGAGGAATGTGAGATGGTATGCCCATATACAGCATAAACCAACTAACGTGCCTATAAAGAGGAGTGATTTTATTCATGTTGAGAAAGCTAAAAGAAAAAGAAGAAATCCAAAAGAGAACATGAGTCGAAGCGGTAAAAAATGACACGATTACCTCAGACTTAACAAAGGGCATGGCTTTTAATAGAGCCAGTTGGAGGACCCAGATTCATGTAGCCAACCGTAACTAATTGGGATAAAGGCTTGATAAGTTGAGTTGAGTAATAACGATAGAAATAGCAAGTACAAATACTGAACACTAATATGGATTTTTCTTAGGCCATGTTTGTTTTGAGAAAATGGAGGGGATTGGATTAGTAATGAGGTGAGTTCAAAAAAATCATGTTTGTTTTGGAAAATTGCTATGGGATTAAGAGTCCCATGGGACTGTGAAACCCCTCCAAGGAGGGGTCTAGCAATCCCATGGGGGAGATGGTATTGAAATTTAATTTCATGGGATTGGAGGTAAGAAGACTATTTTGCCCAACTTTACCAAAACAATTAAGTCACCTTCTATATAACAAAGGCTTTTACGAAATTTTATAGATTTAATCCCAAACAACTAATATCACTATATAGTGCACAAACAAATACAATTTCTTTTACATCTCGAACCTAATATCACCACACTAGTAATCCCCTCACTCAAACAAACGAGGCTTTAGAACCATACATAGATGCTAATCAAATGCATTACACTTATCACACATAAAAAATAAATAATAGCAAGCAAAAAAATTTCACCAACCTCATGCACTTTAAGAAGTTCCAAAATTGCTAAGACAATATCATTCACATAGCAGAAACCAGAAGCCTCACATTTCTTTGCATGATGTAGACCACCAGCCCAATTTATTGCAATATCACAAGATCCATGGTTCAACTTCACGGCACCACCAACTGAACCCCCAGCATAAGTCTGACAGAAAGAATACAAACCATCAAACACAGGGCAGTCTTCACCAACATTGAACCTCTTCAGCTGCCTGAGTTGATCCTGCTGGGTTTCTGGGGTGATGCTCCTCAGAAATGCAACATAATCATCAGCATGAAACCTACAAAGATCCCTATCTCTAGCAAGAACAGGCTTTACAACATGCATATGTTGTAGTAAACCATAGTGAGCTAGAAGAGCATGTGTCATACGAATCCTGTGTGGCTTCATTGGGTGACCTTGCCCATAATAGTAATTGCCAACCTCCGGGTCATAAAAATAGAACACTTTTCTCTTCACTCCATCTGGTCCAGATGGCAGGGAATTGCCCCCTGTTTCCATCACTCAACCTGATGAAAGGTTGTGAATAAAGTTAAAACAGAAACAAAAGTGTTCGACGTGCATAAGTCATGTAAATCACAAGTGGGACACTTAATGCTCAAACTAAACCAAAATACAGGTAGTAGTTAACATATACACACCGAACACCTATACGGATTCTCCTGCACAGTGGCAGAATGAAAATACATGCAAGCTAGATAGAAAGGACAGTTACAAGTAGACAACGTTCCAATTGGTTGAAAAACACTTCCAAAATACTTAAACACCATAGTACAAGATCATAATTGATTAAAATGTTAAGAGAAAAGCTTTTATTTAAAACAAACTCACTAATTATTACAAGAGAATAGCTTCTTCTATTTAAAACACACTAATTGGTGTGGCCTGAACTTTCTCTTGTTAAGGGAAACTTACTTAAATTTTTTTTTATATTATTATTATTTATTTTTTATTTTTTTTTGTTAATCAAGCGAGAAACTCATTCTATCATCACATGGCAATGTGTTCTCAATATCTCATGATTTGAGGTACAAAACATACAATATATGATACATGTGATACATGCATACTTCGAGTTTCTTTAGTAATTTTAGGGGGGAGCTTGCTCCAGGCAGGTTTGGATCACTTACAATGCACAGCTCTAATCGAGCGATGACAACCAGGAGGTGGGCTTGGAAGCAGCCATCTTTCAAAGAAAGCGTAACCAATTAAACATGTTTAAAAACTAATATTGTCAGAGAAAAAAGTTCATTAATATTAAAGGAAGCTATTAATCTTGCTTTGGTCTACCTTCTTCACAAATATCAACTCTCATGATATTAAGAATTTTATGCCCACTTATATCAAGTGAACCTAACCATATTCTAAATGGCTTAACAAATATTTCTATTATATACAAGATTTGAACACTTAAAAGTTGTAAATTACAAAGAAAAATCTAAATGGTGAGTTAACACAAATAATATAATTAAAAAAGATGAGAAACATATTGAGGGGAAGTTTGTCATGTAGTTACAGTTTGAAATACTTAGCTAGTTTTTGTCCCTCTTCTCTTGTTTTCTTTTTGTATATCGATATTGGGAGTAACTGGAAAATGGAAGCTGAAAATATTGACGATATGATGCTCAATAACTAGTACTTTCACTAGGTATTGGAGTGCTTGATCATTTAATAATTACAGAATAGACCAATTTATTTAATATTGAATATAATAATGCAATTAAGTGTCATATCTATTAATTTTTTTTATATTTTACCTTCACTATTCGCTTTATATGTATTAAGCATTGATGCATACATGCTTCTTCACATATTATTGATAACACATGATCTAATGCTTCGCACTAGAAAAATATTTCTGATTTCTAAGCATATATTTATTTTTTCAACCCTATTTTGAGATTGTTATAAAACAGGAAATATTATTCCCATTTTTTTTTAATAAATCAGACTCCCAATTCTGCTTTTAGTGTAAACATTACACATGACATGATTTCCAATGCACATTATAAGACAAAATTTGGAGTGCATTTGTCAAAAAGTGGAGTGGGAATAACAAATCCCATAAAATATTATGATGTACATTATAATACAATGCATGACCTGGAAAAATAAAACAAAAACATGATTTGTGATTGTATCAAATCTGACAACTATGATTGGAATACAAATTAAGAAGTTATTTACTAAAATAACAAAATAGAGAAATTACATCTGAACTATATTGTGTAGGAGCTATGGCGCAAATCTCAATATGGTCAGTTCCATAATTTCTATGACCCATAACTTTTTGTCTAGACAGATAAAAATGAAGCTATATATTATCAAAAACATTTGAGATACATTAAAATAATTGATGTACCCCTATAACTCAATTTGTCATCATCAAAATCATTTCAACAAACCTTGGGCCTAACAATATATATTGCTAATAACTTTTGTTTTCTTCTTTTCCATCATCAAAATCATTTCAACAAACCTTGGGCCTAACAATATATATTGCTAATAACTTTTGTTTTCTTCTTTTCCTCATTGTAATGGAAATTGTCCATTCCATTGGATAATAGGTCATGAACTTTGTTGAATTATACCCAAAAAAACACTAAAATTACTTATTATCTACATAACAAAGCAAAAAAAAAAACTAAAATTACTTATTATCTAAAAAAAAAAAAAAAAAAAAAAAAAAAAGATGAAAACCCCTAAAACACAGAACACATAGGACTCTAGGTTTAAGAATTCTACACTTAATAGTAAACAAGTCACAATTGCTACTTTCTCCTTCAATATTTTCAAATCTAAAAATCAGAAGGAAGCAGTATATTAGTCTTACAACTGATTCTTATATAACAACTTTTTATTAAGAAAACCCTAAAATTGTTCTCTTTCAAATTGGAGAGATATAGCAATGCCAAGACGAAGAAAATTTGAGATAACATTAATACCATCAAAATAGTGTATAAAAAAAATGTACAAATAGATGCTATGCCAGGACAGAAAAAATTTGAGACGACATTAACAAATAGATTGCAGACAAAATACACAAGATAAGATAAACCTAGTCAAGATTCCCAATCACAACTTCCAATTTCCCATTATCACAAATTCAAGTCTCCTGCATTGAATTGTATTTCCAACCCAAACCATATATATTGATATTTATGTTTGTGAGCAACTCCAACATTATTCTTTATTGGGTTATTACACTTTCTACCCCTAAACTATTGTCAAATTATCTATTTAGTCCCTAAGCTATTGATTAAGTCTACTCAGTCCCTAAAGTTTATAAATCAAAGTTTATTAAATTCCTAAACTATTGATTGAATCTATTAAGTCTTTAACTATTTGATTCAAACCTATTTAGTCCCCAAAAGGGTTACAAAAATAAAACATATGCTCAGAAGTATGATAAATTAGTAAAAGATCCTACCTAATTAAGATTTTATTGAAGAAAAATCTTAAATTTTTATTGTCTTCAAAAAGTATTTTATTTCGTTGTGTGTTGAAATTAGTATTAGATTAGTATTAGATTAGTATTAGATATACTGAAGAAGTAGAATTAGATAATTTAAATAACAAATCTTCACTACAAATAATAATAGAGCAAAAGAATACATTAGTTAAGTTATAAAAAAAACTTAGCGAAAAACTTAAAAACAATCAATTAGAAATTATAAACGAAATCTGACATATAATACTAGATAAAGACAAGCACATAGCCATTGTAGAAGATAAGTTAGAAAATACTATAGATAATTACTTTTACCCTTACAAAGAAAATTCACCATAACAACTGATGCCCACTTTTCAAAGACAATAAAAATTTAAGATTTTTTTAAAATAAATTTTAACTAGATAGGGTATTTTAATAATTTATAATACTTACAGGTTTATATTTTATTTTTGTAATCTTTTTAGACACTAAATATGTTTGAATTGAATACTTTACGAACTCAATAGATTCAATCGATAGTTAGGGATTAAATAGACTTTGATTTATATACTATAGGGAATTGGTAGACTCAATCAATAGTTCAAGACTTAGACAATTAAGTAGACAATTTAGCAATAGTTTACAAGTATAGAGTGTAATAAACCATTGTTTATTTTACATAGCGAAAGTACACTCCTTATTTTAATAGTTACTTTTTCATTTATGTATTCCAACACGCTAATCTTTATTTTACCTACCCTTTCAAAAACTAACTTAACGAAGTTTCAAAAGAAATTATTGGAGCTAGAAAAATTTAAAAACAGGTAGCAGGTCCCAAAAACATAGATATAAAAGAGGTATAAACAATACATGATTACAAGACCTAAAAATATACCTACAAAACATAGCAGAAGCCAAAACAAGAAGCAAGAAAAGACTTGAGAAGCCCACTGCACAGAAAACCCATTACAAGACTTGATAGGAATTAAATAGACATCCTACAGCTACAATTGCAAATAAACAGGTAGAACTATAGGGTTCCAAAAAGTGGTATTAACATTATGCAGAGAAAGAGCGTAGTTATGAGATGAGCATCCAAATTCCAAATAGGCAACTAAGAACTTCATAGTTATGAAAATAAAATTAGGGTTTCGAGAAGTTCAAATATAGGGGTGTTCAAACCTAATTACAGTAGGATTCTATTAAAATAAAATTAGGCATGAATATATTTGTAAAAAGTTCAAACTAAGGAAAAATGAAGGATGAGGGGGGTTTCGGCTTTGCAAAGAAGAGGGAAAAACTGTAGATGGGGATGGGGATGGGGATGGGGATGGGGATGGGGTTGCAGAGAACGGGAAATTGGGGTTCCGAAGGGTTGTACAGGGGGTTTGCATAGAAGGGGCTTGGGTTGAATTGAGAGAGAGAGAGAGAGAGAGAGAGAGAGAGAGAGAAAGAGAGAGAGAATGTGTTCCGCACCTTTGATCAGAGAGAGATGACAAAGGAAATTGAAGGAGGGAGGTGCTCTTGTGGAATTCCTTGGGCTGCAGAGATATTGAGGAAGTCAGATTGCTCTTCAACGCAGTTGAAGGAGCGAGGCGCTCTTCTACGATGGCTCACCCTACACGGGTGGTTTGGATATGTTCTTATTTGTTTTGGTTTTTTTAATTAAGCGTAGAAAAATGGATAGGTGATGAGATAACTTGTAATAACAAGCTTTTTACTTTTTTTTTTTTTTTTTTTTTTTTTTTTTTTTTTTTTTTTTTTTTGGTGGAGTTGTGGTCTATCACTATTTTAAAATTTAGTTAAGAATTATCTAATTAATTCTACAGTTATACTAATAACTCTTCAAACTGTTGTATAACTATTTGCAAAGCTTCTTGTTTTACCATTATCTGTCTATTTATCTGAGAAATTTTCAAACTATAATTTTCTAGAGATCTACCAGAAGCTAATGATAATATAAATTGATACCTTAATTCTTTATCTTCTAATTCTTGTATAAGCTCAGTACTGGTTCTGATTTTAATCCTAAGTTATTCTTCTAAAGGCATACAATTTTGATTTTTTAAATTCTTTTATGAACAATATTTCCTTAATATTTTTACTCGGGTTGCTCTCCTTGTATTCATTTCAGTCCATGTTTCATGCTCATACACTCACATCTTTCACTTATTCAATGCGTTGGAGGGTTTGCCCCTTTATGCCTTAACATGAATCATTGCGTATGCCTTTATGCCTTAGCTTGCGAGCCATCATTTCAATGTGCTTTTGGGGTTATCTTGCCATGACATAACTTTGATTTTTGTTGGTTAAGTCATCCCATGCTTGGTCTTAATAGGTGTAGTGTAATCCACCTTATTTGCCTTGCATTCACCATGCCTTATGCCCCTCGTGCTAGCTTGTTTTGGCTTCATATAACCCCTTTACTCTGTTATTATTCACTAGGCTTTCGCTCACAGTTTATATTATGTATGTAGGTGAGCCGGCACATGACCAGGGCCAGAGTTGACGGCTTTTTGTACTGTTTTTGTCAGCCAACCGTTGTGCCTCCCGAGGAGGTTCCGATCGAAGTCTAACGCCAAGGCTGTTTTTGTTTTCATGCTAGTCTCTGTAACTGTTTGTAAAGTCAGATCTTAGGAAGTTCACTTCTGTAAATATTTTGTAAATATTGTATATCTGGACTGGCATGTACATATATCTATAAGTAAGTTTTGAAATGTTCTGTCCCATGTACGTTATCACAGCTCATTGGACCTTGTCTATTTTGTATTATTGCTTCCGCAGCCCCTTACTATTTGCTAATCTGTTCAGAGGCCTTTGGTAATCCACGAATTACTGGCCGGTTACGGTGCTAAACCTATAGGGGCGGGTTTGGGTCGTGACAACTTGCCATGACATAACTCTGATTTTTGTTGCTTAAGTCATCCCATGCTTAGTCTTAATAGGTGTAGTGTAATCCACCTTATTTGCCTTGCATTCACCATGCCTTATGCCCCTCATGCTAGCTTGTTTGGGCTTCCTTCCATGCATGTTTTAGTATCATTTTGACATATTCTAGGACTGTTTTTGGTTACCTTTGCCATATCCTTCATGCTTTGTATAGCTGTAGTGCAATTGGCCTTACTAGCTTTGTGTTTTGTTGGCTCATGCATGCTATCTTTGAGCTATTTAGATGATTTGGCATCATTTAATATTTCAGTTCAGAGCTTATAGCATGTTTATATTCCCACTTCTTTCATGCTTTGAATGCCATTAAGTGTTGTGCATTGTTGCCTTACTTGAAGCCTAGCATGTATGCCATCTTACCTAGGCCTTTGAGCCTCCATCTTAACATGTGTTTGGTCATTGTTTTGACCTATTTCAGCTCTTTCCATGGTTGGTTCATGCATATGTGCCATGTATTGCATGCTCCCTTTGTAGTCCTCTTTACTAGCTTCATGCTTTAAGGACCTTTGCATGTTATGCTTACTTTGTTTGAATGATTTGGCATCAGTTCTTACTTAATTTCAGTACATTTAGTGTTGTTACACTTCTATGTTTATCACTCCTTGAGCACTCTTGAGGGTTGTGCTCTTAGTCCTAGTTGGTTGGCCAATGCATTGTGCATCATGCCTTGCCCTTTTGGTGCCTTTGTTTTGGTGTTATGGCCTCTATTTTGGACATGGCTAAGGTCTATCCATTTTGGTTTAAGTCCATTGAGCATTGTGTATGCCATGTTACATCTCATCGTGCATGTTATGTTATTGTTTGCATTGCGCATGCCATGCTCTCGATTCGCATTGTGTATGCCATGATCATATTGCATTGAGTATGCTAGGGGGCATTTGCATTGTGTATGCTATTTGCATTGTGTCATATTGTTGCATGCTTATGTTGTCTTGCATTGAGTATGCATACATTAGCATTGTGCATTGTGCACGCCATTAGCCTTATTAGGTTGTTCATGTTGCATGTTTGTGTTGCATTTTGTTTGGAATAGGTGTTAGTCCAAACACAGGAAACGAGGGACGTTTCATACTTGAAATGATGAAACGTGACTTAATTCTCGGTCGCCGAGGCTCCTTGATCAAGCATGATAGAGTTTTAGGCCTTATGTGTTTACTTGTGCATTCATTTTCATATTGAATTGTGCAACTTCGCCTCTCGGCCATTACGGATTGAAATGTGCAATTGATGGCCCGAGGGTCGAGAACTACACTCCCTTGAGTTCATGACATGATAAGAAGGGTGGTTGTGCACACATATCTTACAAATACATTGCCATGCCCTTTCTTACTCTCTGTTGTAGCAAACTGGAATTCAACAGCAACAACTGGTCGGCCAGCCAGAAAAACTAGCTGGCTGTAGACACCCCATTTTTAACCGACCTTGAGACTCAGACGTCACCAGTTGAGCACTCGGTGATATTGCATGTTGTGCTTGTTCAGAAGTCTCAGAGTCGCGCCTGTGAGCCCTGCCTCCGGACTTCCGAACCCTCTTCTGTGCCTTGCCTCGGTTTGCGAACCGGACTCGGTTTTCTCTGTTTCTTTTCCCGAGGGGAGGGAGAGGTCCTATAGACCATCTCTCAGTGGCCGTGGGCTACATTTTGTGGCCGCAGGCCATTTTGCCCATTTCGGAGTCCGGTTTCCGGTTTTTCGGAATCGTTGGCCGTGTGCCTCGGTTCGGGACCGCCTAACCATCTCCATTTGCTCTGATTTTTGGCATACATCTTATTTTCTCCCTTTCAAGGGACACTGGGGGCTGAGAAACCCACTTCGTGGCCGAATGCCACTTTCGGTGTTTAACAGCCCATTTTCGGGACCCTGAACTGCGCGTTTTGGCCCCCGAGCATTCGTTTTGCATTGGTTTTCGTTCATTTTTGGCAGGTACCTCTGTTTTATCACTAAGAAGGCTGTAGAAGGGTGGGAGGCCAGCAATTGTTGCAGCAACCAGTTTTTTACTCCTCCGGCGCCCTCCGACGCCCGTTTTTCGCACTTCCGGGCCAATGTTGAACACCTTAGAGCCATTTTCTTCAAACCCAAACCACATATTTGTGATGTACACACATGGGAGAACCCTAAAAGTTCATGGCCGGCCACTAATGCCACCTGACCCTTTTGAACCCCTCCTTCCGGGCTAATGTTGAACACCTTGGAGTTAGTGTTGCCAACTTTCGACCACATATCTGTGATCTACACACTTGGGAGGACCCTAAAAGTTCATGGCCGGCCACTATTTTTGATCAATCGGCCACTTCTCCTAACCGAGACCTTTTCTTGAGGGAGCTTGACCCTTTTGGACCTTTTTTTTAGCTTCTCCAAGAAGCTTGACCTTTTTGTTTAGCTTCTCCAAGAAGCTTGAACCTTTTGACCCTTTTTTTAAAACTTCTCCAAGAAGCTTGACCCTTTTGAACCTTTTTGTTTAGCTTCTCCAAGAAGCTTGAACCTCTTGACCCTTTTTGCCTAGCTTCTCCAAGAAGCTTGGCCCTTTTGCTCCAAGCTTCTAAGAGAAGCTTGGCCCTTTTGGTCAAAGCTTCCAAGAGAAGCTTTGCCCCTTTGGTTTCTCTATATAAAGAGAACCTCTCCTCCCCTTTAGGAGGTTAGAAAATTGGTTCTTCAAGCCTCAAGAGACAAATCCTCCTCCATCTCTCTCATTTTCCTAAAAAGCTTCAAGTCCTACACCACCATTTACACTACAACACCAAGCTCTACCACCACCACTCCATTCCAAGAGCAAGGGGAGGATTTCCAGCAGCTAAGAGGCAACAAATTTGGTCCAAGAAGCAACAAAAGAATTGATCTTCAAGGGTGAGTTGCAATTTTCCCTTTTTGGCCCATTTCTTGTATCTTTTGTAAGCCATCCATGCTTTTTTCTTTGAGCTCCGGCCATAACTGAAAGTGGCCTTATTTTGAGCTCATTTTCACTTTTGCTTAAGGGCTCAACCCTGTTTGAGCCCTCCATGTTGTACTTGCTTCAATATCCTCCTTAAATACCGTTTTCTTGCATGCTTTGGCAGCCCATTATGCTTCCATTTTTGGACGATTTACAGGCCTAGAGATAGTCTTATTTTGACCTTCTTAACATGTTTCATTAAGGGTCTTTGGCCATTTGTGGAATATTTTGCATACCTCATGTTATAGCCTCTTTTGAGCCTTATTTTGCATTGCATTTCTAGCATGTTTTTATACTGTTTTGGCCATTTTACAGTTCTGCAAATATGCTTATTTTTTGTCCCTCTTCAATGTTGTAGAAGGGAATTTTTCAGTTTGGGCATTGCATATACCACTTGCCTCTTTGGCCATCTTTTGGCCCATTTTCTTGCATAAAAGCTTAGCCATATCTATGTTTGTTTTTGAGGTTTTTACAGTTCTGTAAATATGCTTATTTTTGGCTCCTCTTCAATATTGTAGAAGGGCCCGAACCTGTTTGAGGACAGAAGCTATGAGTTGCTTCTTAATCTCATGTTTATTCCCCATTTTTTGCATGCTTGTTTTGCCCTGTTTTTGTCCACTGTTTGGCCATGCTATAAACTGGAAAAGTGCTTATTTTGGGACTGCCTTGCTTCTGTATTTACATTCCATGTGCCAATTATGCATGTTTGGCATAGCTATAGGCCATTTCGGGTGCCATAATCTATGTTTCGGGACTATTCCATGCATTTGGTGTCATTTCGCCTC